CCCCAGCTCCCTCAGCCTCTCCTCACAGCACTTGTGCTCCAGTCCCTTCCCCAGCCTTGCTGCCCTCCTCTGGTCCTGCTCCAGCCCCTCCATGTCCTTCCTGAAAGACTTCCAAGAGCTTTAGAGGGGTGGGTTTGGTCCCCACACCGAGGCCAGATCGAATCCATTGCGACACCAGAGGAGGGAAGTGTAACCTCTGCTCTTGTTTATCCATGGAAAGTCCAAGGAATTAAGCTGGTGTGTGGTTGTTCCAAGTGAAGAAATACAGTTAGGTCTGTAATTGCCTCTTGCTTAACAACACCCCTGACTCTGCCCCAGCTTGTCTGGCCTGCAGTTGCTCAGCAGCTTGTGACGCTCCGTTGGGCAACAGGGTTCCTAGAAGGGCGACCTGAGGGAACTGGGAAGGCACAGGAACCCCCCCAGGAGGAGGGAAGGCAGAGCCAGAGGGTGACACTGTCCCCCAGCAGTCTGGAGGGCCCTTCACCCTGTCTGCCCCCCCAGCTCCTGCTGCTCTGCACCCACCAAGTGCCCCTGCCCGTCGCTCTTCAGTGGGTTTTTCTCACAGAGAGTTTTAGGCCAGCTGAGCTCCTGGCACCCAAACCCACTGCCATCACTTCCTTATCCAATTTTCCCACAGGAAAATGCCTTTCAGCTCATTCCAGGGCTCTGCAGACTGATGCCATCACACCCCAGGGGCTCTGAGCCCTGGAGGTGACAATGACTTTGCAGGGCACAGACCCAGTGAACTCCCTCCCAGCAGGGATGGGAGAGACACTGGTGAAGACTGAACCTCCACAGCCATCCCAGCAAATCCTGACCCTGGGATGCTCCCAAATCCTTCCCACCTGGAAGGGGCTGCCTGGGGAAGAGGTGGAGTCTCCACCCCTGGAGGTGCCCAAGGAAGGCCTGGACGTGGCACTCGGATGGGGCACAGGTTGGACTGGATGCTCTGGGAGGGCTTTTGTGGCTGATCTACCCCCATCCCACCGAAACCAGATGAAGGGATACACAGCCCTTGGTGCAGCCTCACGCCTGGAAACACAAACACTGGGCTCCTGGGAAAGCCACAGCCCTGGGAAAGGGGTGCTGAGCAACCTGCAACCCCGTGCAGTGGATGCTTTTCCAAGGGGAAGCTCCAGAACTGCAGCAGAAGGTGACAGGGAGGATCCCTTCCTTGGGGGGCACATCCCTCCAAGCTCATCAAGGCCCTCTGGTAATTAGCTGCAGCTCAGCTTCCCAGGCAGAAGTCAATAAAAGCATTTTCAGGTTTGAAGTCTCGGTTCTCTAAAACCACCCAAGGCACCAGAAACCACAAAGCACTTTCACACACACTCTGGGTTAGACCAAGGAAGGGATCAGAGCCGAGTTCAGGACTTTAACCCAGGATAATAAACCCAAGGTGGCTTTACATGAGGCCAAGCCAAGCAAATCACTGGATCTGCAGCAAATACTCAGCAAAAAAAAAAAAGAAAATCCCCCAGGAATTCTCTGCAAAGGGACCTTGGCTCAGCAGCCAGCAGAATTCCAGACTCCAGCAGCAGCTGGCACTGCTGAAAGGCATCACTCCACACCAGGGAATTTGGCAGCCTCCAGCAAAGCTTCCTGTTCCACAGCCCTCCGTGCCCTGGAACGGGGCTGAAAATAAACCCACAGGCTCCCCCAAAACCCTCCTGGGAAGGCAGCAAGGACCTGAATTAGCTGGGAATTTAAAACCAGGTTTTAAACCTGTCACAGAGCAACCCCCTCCTGGGTTTTATGCACCTTCCCCTCCCGGGTTCCTGCACCTTCCCAGGCCACGGATGCTCCTGGGGAAGGGCTGGATTTTTGTGGTGCCCCGGAGAAAACCCTGCTGTCAGCGTGACTCAGCAGGAGCCACCTCTGCCAAGCTGCTTCCACCTGGGGTTTGGGCTCCAGTTTTCATTTCTCTGCCAGTTTGAACTTGAAGGCATCGCCCTGACCCAGCAGATCCCAGTCTCAGCCCAGTCTGTCACTGGGATGCCTGGGAAGCAGCAAACACCCTTTCTATTTGGGTGTTGGTGGGAACTAACCCCAAGTCTTTCCACCCTCACTGAGGGCCCAGTTTCTCCCACTTCACCCCAGGAGCTCCCATGACAGCACAGGACCCTCCTGAACCTCCTAAAACCCCACAGAGCCACAGGAAAATCAATTTACAGAC